GACGGTTACCTGTTGCCGTCTAGACTAGACGGACAGTGAGAATCAGCCTTAGCACGTGTAAATGTTCGGTGCAAAAAGCTTTTAATAGTATTTTGTTTAAGTTGTAATTCTTTCTATGTTTAAGTTAAGCTAGGCATACGCACAGGTGTCATGTCCATGCAGGTTTTTAATTTGCTTTAGTACATCAAAAAGGTATGAACCAGAATGTGCCTTCTCGCTCCGTGTCTCGAAACCTAACACACATCTCCACTGCACATTTCCTTTAAAACGTATCAGGACGCACTTTCTCGTTAACCGAGCGGCATGGTCTAGAGATTTAGACCATTGTTTAGCATTCGGGAGGACGCCAGTTCGATTTCTGGTCCGTCTGCTTTGGTCCAAGTTTTTCTATGGTTTCCTTGAATAACCTATGCAAATATTGGTGTAGTAATATTCCACAGATAATCTTTCATTTTCGTCCGTCTCATCTTTTTCACTCGACCCATCATCCACCCATTCCCACGATTCCTGAACAGATGCTGAATAGGCTACCTTCTGGCGTGAGCCGGAGGGACTGCCCACTCACCAGCATTAGCAGCTCGTGGGAATGAAACGCCCAAAAATTTTATGTTCTGATTCGGGTCTAAATGCCGTCGTGTTGGATTTGCTTCCTAACGTGGCCACATCCAGCATTGGAGATGAAAGAAGGCAATTTCAACACACAACGGCCTTTACACTCGAATCAGAACATTTCGTCCGTCTCATCTTTCTCACCCGAACCACCACCCGCCCATTCTTACGATTCCTGGAAGCAGGCTAAAGGTAGCCTTCCGCCCTACCCTCCGGCGTAATCCGTAAGCCCACCAGCATTACTGGGAATGAAACACCAAAAAAAAATTTTTCATTTCATATTGCAGCGAACCAGTGACACACAGCACGGATCGGCGCGTAGAAGCCGCGCGTCGATTGCCACTCCACGCGCCGTGTTGCCTCACCTTAATAAGACACAGTTTTTTCTCTCGGAGAAATTAGGATAAAACCGATCGATCTACTTGATCAATTACCGCCTCTTTTGTTTCTATCTAGAACGTTCGTCCAACTTTTCAAAAGACTAAAAACGGCAAAACAAATTGGTACTTACTTTTAACCATTCGCGTGTTTACGCAGTTGAGCGAAATTAAAATAATAATGAAAGTCTTATTGTAAAAGAAAGTGAAAAATGTCACCTTATAAATAATTGTTTTGTTTTTGCCTTACAAGTAGACATAACGCTAGCTATCACTTTTAATGGTTGCAATGAAATTTTGTAATTTCTCTTTCGCATTATTCAAAGTATTTGCACACATACATAAATTAGGTACGTATTTATTTACATTACGCATTAGGTATTGCGGCATAAATACTTAATGAGGCAAAAAGGTCAGTTTTGATAATAATAAATAAAATTAATGTTAACGTTTGCAAGACAACAACGCTTCTGAGAGTTAACTTTTGTAATCAAGTATTAATATTTCAATGGCAAATGGCACATCAATCCCATAAACTTTGAAACACTTTTTAGTTCAATATATATTATAAAGCCAGTTAGCTATCAATACCTGACGCTTTTTGCGAAGATGGAATCAAATAACTATTTCCCCTTCAGTTAAATTGAATATATGTTTGAAATAACGCAGTGTGATCAAATAACTTCCCGAACAATTTTAGTAAAAGTGAAAATTGAAATGGAAAATCCACACACAATACGTACACTAAAATTGCTGATTATTCAAAATAAAAGTTTAGTTAAGAAATTGTGCAGTTGAATATTTTCTAGAGACGAAACCGCTTAATCCTTAACTTATTCACACAATCTGTCCAGTAAACATGCGAATTGAGGTTGTAGAGTTGGGTTAGTGATGTGGGGTCACGAATACTGGGAGGAAGGCTCAACAAAAAGCATGAGTGGGTGCTACACCATCACAAAGAAGAATACACCGATAAAGAAAGGATTTTTTTGTCGATAGCGACGTTGGAGATTGATTGTCAGACAGAGCAACGACTCAAGATTTAAGGAAACTTGAAAGAAACCACTGAAAATTGGGGAAACATAAAGTCTAGAGCTGAAGGTAACGCTCTGCATTTTCAAGTAGATTAACTATTTCAGCATGGGACATGAAAACTGGAAAGATGATGCAGGTGCCCTACTTGTGGATCCTTTTTAACAGTGGAAACAGACCCCTAGCGAAGTATTTTGTTTTAAGGGAGGGGAAGGGGAGCGCAGCCGAATAACCAACTGCTGTACTTTATTTTTCAAACTAGTTTTACACACACCTGCCCAAAAATATGCATTTATAAATAAAAAAAAATAGAACTTAGGCATGTGATCAGGTAGATATAGCAGAATCAATTTTTCAGTATGTTTTCTTTTAATATTCTTTTTGTCTTTTGTGAGAATGTTTGATATTGAATTCAAACGTTCTATCACCATTTTGAGTTTTCGGTGATATCTTTGAAGATTCTGTTCTGGATTAATTTTAACTTTTCTAGCAAAAATTTTGGCAATTCCTGTTAAGTTTAGAATTAATTTTCCTGTTGCTTTAATGAAATTACGATTTCTCTGGTTCTATTAATAATGTTTATTACGTCTACAATGTTCAATTTTTCCTTTCATCTTTATTCCGTTTTTCCGATGCGCTTATAATAACCCATTTACTTTGAGGTATTTGGCTAGAAATATTGACCAGAAGTTCGATTTATTGATAATACTGTAAGGGTAATATTTTTGCTGCTTCCAAGAGTTCAATCAACACCGAACTAAGGACCGATATTACTTTTATATAATCATATTATATACGAATGCTCTTCTAGTTTCTCAAGCAGTTTTACCTATAGGCGTTTTTACTCGAAATTATGAAAGAAGTCTATTTTTAACATATTTCCTAATTAAAAATTAATTAAACACAAGTTGAAAAAGCCAACTGAGCAGATATGGAGAAAGGGCATCCTCCGGCATCTCCCCCTTTAGCTGGGGCTTTGAGTAGAAAAGATGCATTACCACCATAGGGGACAATTTTGAAGGAAATATTACCTACCCTAAATTTTGGTAAATGAAGGTGTTACTACCTCAGTTCGCTTATTTATGGGACAGCTGTGTATATCTCCGCTATCTAGTAGTTGTTCACTCATTTCTACTTGCAGAAAGAGGGTATCACTCTTTCTTATAAGTGATTTCTATTTTGAGTCATCAATTGCTCTTCAATTTTGCGTTAGAGTGAACAGTAAGAAGATAATTATTTGATATTTGACGCGCTGTTTTAAAGCCGACTTTTCTATGGTTTGTGGATTTTATGGCAAAGAAAAGATTTTTTTTTATTGTTGTGGTAACATTATAAATCCGTTGGCATTTCAGCTGTAAGTACAATTTATAGAATTTATATCGTAAGTAGGTTTCCATCTATTTGTAGTAAACATTTATGCTGTACTTGCAGGTACAATGGCCTTTTTGACTTATTGTCATTTCGTTTCGAGTTTCTCACGTTTAGTTATTGTAAGGCCGACTCACATGAGCGTTCATGTTTCAGAAATTGAGGTCAAATGTCCGGTTTAAAAATGCAATAAGTAAGCGTAGTTCCGGCTACAGCATCCCTAATGCTTGCGTGGGTTCAAATTTTGTCGTCATGAATTTCCGAGGTTAAATTAAAAAAACCGTTTTAATGTCATCCAATTTTCTGTTTATTTGTTTGTTTATTTTTTTTATTCATGCTCGATGAACACTGAACGTGAATCTAGAATAAAGCTTGCTCTTTTGACAAAAACTGTAATTAATTTGAGTTTTGGTAATTCCCACGAATATGTACATAAATAACAGTAAAGTAATGGACGGTGGAACTGATGCGGTACTGATCTGTCGAGTCTAATGGTTGTCATGTGTTGAAATTGTTTCCTAACGTTTCGCAGGCACGAATGGCATATGCTTCTAGAGAGATCCTTCCAACTCCGATGCTGGATCCAGGACCTCTGGAGAAGCTCGCTACTCGCCGCGAAAACCTTTACCAATTTGTAATGGATAATGGATTTTTTATAGCCCCATGTTTTGTTATCCAAATGATTAAAGCTACATTTTGAAGTAACTTTCACTTAGTTACCTGACTGTGTTTGTACATCCACTACTAACAAATTTCTTGGTATTTAATATTAAATTAATGTAAAACATTAACTTAAGTTAACTAATGGAAAATTTTAATATCGAGGATACTGTTAACTAAGTCATAAATGCATTATTTTTCAACATAGGACAATTATCTTGATGTTTCTTTTTAATTAAATTTTGTACTTATTTATTAATATTAGTTATTTGCTGAAAATGAATCTTCCTTTCTAAGCAATTGTAAAAATATGCAAAATAATTCTTGCATTCTTTTAAATTTCATTTTATTAATATTCAATCCCAGTTTGGGAGACACAAATTAATTTGTAGGTAAATGGTACACGTTATGTATAACTCACAACTTTCACCTTTCATACTAAATCAAGAATTATAAATCATTTAACTTGATTCAGTTAGGTCCGTCTATTAAAAATTTAGATAAGCATTTGGTTCCATTACGTTAATCAAACTGTAGCATTTTAAATGTACTTAATTGTAAATTTATTGATAGTCCATTCTTCTAGAAGTTTTCAAAAAACAAAATAGTAATAATACATATTTGTATGTACATACATTGTAGATAATATTTTACTTTCACAAAATCTCTAACAGAGTAGGCTTTTAAGAGTCCTACTTAATTCGATTTGACCCTCTTTAAATTTAATAAAAAAAGGAAACCGCTGACGAATCCTTTAAAATGTACATTCAGGTACTGACATCACACAAAACAATTTGAAATTAGAAAATCGTCTAGCTGTCATAAAATATAAATTCATTATTTTAAACGTTTTACAGAAAATAATTTCCTTGCAATATTTAACGTATTTCTTTCCATTGATAAGTAAAACCATAATATGATTCAAAACCTTTATGTTGTATTATCATTACTTACCTCTGAGAACATCAGCTGGGATAAGTCGCCTGAAAATTTTCTGTCTCTCCTCGGCTACGGGGCTGGCAGGCGCCGCGGCGCTGTCTTCCTTCTTGTCTTCGGCCAAGGCGAAGACGAGAACCAAAGAGAACACAACGAAAACCTTCATTTTCTTCTTGTACTTCTTCGCGTTCTTCTCTACGGCGCACTGGTGCACTAAGCGTGTTCTTCAGCAACGAAGCTGGTAAAGCTGATGGATTATTAGTGGTTGACTGGAGACGCGGTGAACTGACCGGCTTATAAAGCCTATGGAGAAGGTGACGAAGAGTGGTGGTGATCAAATACGACAAGTTTCAGTCTGGTATAAACGTGGTGATGCTTAATATACATGAGTACTAACTGGTGGGGCAGCTGAAAATCTGGTAACGTGATGATTACCATGATAATAGTGGACTTGGTGATGGCAGAAAAACTGAAATGACACATGAACTTAAAATTAGGTGCCTTACATGTGCCTACCTACATTTCGAAATTGGGAGAAAATTGCGGAAATTTTAACGCTATCTAGCAATTAGTATGCAATGATTTATTACAAACACTTAAATATGTCTGGTGACAATAAAATGAGATTCATTATAATGGTCTTGTTACGAAATTGAATCATACGGGTCGTACAATGGTTTACTTACTTCGTTTTAAAATGAACGGTTAGGTAATGCGAATTTTTTATAATATGTGTAGGTACCTATGTGTGCAGGTACCTATGTGTGCAGGTACTTTATGCTTACTAATTTTACTTTCTAAAACGATATGAAATAGATTTTGCGTTTTCAATTTATGCGTTTTGTTGATGTACCTGTATGTGTTAGAGTTTACATTTTTATTGGAATATCAATAGTTTTGCATCATCATCATCATAAGATCGCCAGTCCTAAGACTGGTCAGACATGCACCTCCACTCCTTTCTATCCTGAGCTAATCTTCGCATTTCCCTACAACTAGTACATCCCACATTCTTAACTATTTGCGAACAGTAATCGAATCTAGGTCTACCTCTGCTCCTCTTAACTTCTGTTTCTGCTTCTAATATATCTCTGACTAGCCCTTCATACCTGAGAAGGTGTCCCACCAACCTATATCACCTATTTTTTATTAACTTCCATAGAGTCCTCTGTTCTCCTATTCTTTCTAATACCTCTTCATATCTAACCTTTTCTACCCACGGTATCCTCATCATTCGCCTGTAATGCCATATTTCGAACGCTTCTAAACTTTTCCGCCCATACAGCGCAGCGCTCCAATCATACACCTTTAACAATCTATTTCGAATTTCTGAATTAATCGTTCGCGAACATAGAAGTGACTTCTTTTTATTAAAGGCGACTCGACCCTACGCTATCGTCTGCTTTATAGTTTTGCATTTACAGCAAAAAATACTACGAATCCGAATCATTTGTATGCGCCACTTTTGATTTTATAAAATTCCGAGGATATTTTTTTCATCATCTGTTGTGAACAATAACTGCCGCTGTTATTTATAGAGGGCTAAATGTTACGGTTTGATGACCATAACCCAGGGGTTCTCTTTTGGTAAGTTCATAGATGGAACCATCTATGCCATGTTTCGCCAGATCCTTGGATTAGCACCCTAAAGAAACCGTGGCGGGAGTGTAGAATCTTTTGCCAAATCTACTTTCGTAGGTGTCTTCAAAAATTGACAAAGTAAGACTCTACGCGTTCATTTACAATAATACCTCTGGAAGTTCTCCGCACAGAAATTAATGTAGCTAGACCCAGAAGACAAAAAAGAATTAACAGTACTTCGGTAATATGTTCCTGGATAGCAATTACGCAAAAGTAAACTAGAGAGGAAAGCGAATAAAACCCCAATGAGGGAAAATGATCTTTGGAAATGAAAGAAGGAAGAAAACTGAGAAATCCGACTCAGGTCGGCTAAGAAATGTAGGCACTGGAATATAAAAAACCAAACACATCATGATCGAAAAGCTTGAAGGAAAGAAAATAAAGCACAATAATGATATAACAGATATTTTTGAGTACTTATAACCAAAAGAAATTACACTTTTGTTTTTCAAGTGAACTGATACATCGATAGGTATAACTATTTTAAGTTTTTGTATCAGAATTGTGGGTACCATTGCGTTTAATGGCCATTCACTGTTGTTTACAATAAACAAAGGAACTATTTTTGTAGCAATATGATACTTTTTTCTCAAAGGTGGTGTTTATCTATTCATCGGATCTAGGACTTTCTCAAGGGTAACTAATGTAGTAAACAATATAGCTACTTAATAGAATACAGTATTTATGAGTAAGTAAATACAAGGCCGCCTTAGGACATGCAACATTATTGACATTTTCGGTATGAATTAATAAATCAAACCTGCTCAAAAAGAAATTTCACTTTTTTGTTAATTTAAGTTGGAGAAATTATCGCTAAAAGAGGAATCCCAAGTGTACCTATCGGTTTTCATAAATTAAGAAAGAAATGAGCAGAGTTTCCACATAAAATTGTGTATAAGTACGAAATGTATAGTAACGAGTTTATTTTGCTTCCGCAAAATGACTTACTTTCGCAGTGCTGTCAACATTATTTTTTGACAGGTAGTCTTCAACTAACCGAACTCCCAAAACCTTTTGAACAAAACGTCACATCTCTCAAAAGCTTTAAATTACATTTATTGGACTTATATTATAATTATTTCGATGCTTGAAGCGACACTAACCCAACCTGACCTAACCTCAGTTTTATTGAGGTTGGTAACCTTGACAAAATGTCCCAAGATCACAATTACTTTATTCCTTATATGAAAAGATGGTAAAAGCTATTTCTACGAATTTTCCCCTACCACGTTGTATTTTTCAAAAGACGATGCGACCCTATGATAATTACATAGAACAAAATATCCCTATATTCTTCATTTCATCTGTCAGTTTGGATAATATTAATTAAAGTTCAAGGCAATTAAGGGTTGGAAAATTTTTATTTATGAAGAACCAACTAAGAGAACTAAGATATATAGGTCAAACACAAAGGCCTCTATGTATTAGATTACGAGAACGTAAAAATGATTACAAGAACATAAAAAACGTTTTCCCTCGTTTTATTATGAAACCTTTTGTCTTTAATCTTATTATTGTCCTTCATTGTAGCCAAGTGGTTTTTAATTATACTTTAACTTATTAGTTTATTTATATTCGTGTTGCCTCTAAGACAGTGTTAGTTGTTAATTATTTATTATTGTGGTGATCAAATACGACAAGTTTCAGTCTGGTATAAACGTGGTGATGCTTAATATACATGAGTACTAACTGGTGGGGCAGCTGAAAANAATGTGATATATTATAATTATATTCATTAAAAGCAATAATTAAAAACAACTGTCGTATTCTGGATAAGCATATTAACCTTGTTTAAGACCTATTTAAAGAACAACAACAAAACAATAAATAAATAGATATATAATCAACGATGAGGAACTTAATTCAGATTCTCCTTGACAACGTGTTGATTGATGCCTTATTATTTATTACAGTAGCTGATAATTATTATAATGCTTTTCCTATTATATGCGTGACAACCTTATGGAAAATCTTGGTCGGAAAATCATGACTCAATGTTTCAAATTAAACGCCATTAACATCGTCATAAACACTCAATGTTACTCGCTTATGTTGAGTGTTATTTATATAGAAATTATCATAATAAGCATAACGACCAACAGCAAATATTTACATTTTAGCATAGACTATCTGGTGAATCATCTCTGGCTAATTAGCCGCTAATTGAGAAACAAACATGTTTGTTATTTGTTAAAATGAGATTGATAGGTTATTGATACGCGTCGATTATAACCAATTTTAAGATAATTTACAACTGAACCTTGTACTGTACCTACATCTTTTTCTTGTAACTCTATTGTTACCTGACATACGAATTAAAAAAGAAACGTGAATACTTAAGTAGATTCATGCAAAATTTTCCAATTACTGAATATTTTTCAATAATAATTACCTACTAACGTCAAAGGACCATACGGATTAAATTGATTTATTCTGCCCAATCTCACGTCAGACTGACACGTGACTAATCTTGTAGGAGTTAATATAACGACAAATCCCTACAAATATCGAATCAATATAAGAGTAATAAAGAAAATATCTAACAAAAGCATAAAAAGCTTTTTTTGAGTTGAAAACTTAAGATCTGTCGGATTTGCACCTTTGAAAATTTCCTTAAAAATATGGTCTTGCTCCATGCAAATGGTTACTGAGAAAATGGTTGGGCACCGAAACAGGTGAATGATTTTCTATGTGCTTAATTTTTTCCTTTTTAAATCCAAAAATTTAGTTATACATAAGATATATTATTTCAAGATACTTGATTTCAAAATGAATATCCAGTTCCAATAAATCGAGGAAAGCTGTATTCCATGTTTTGGGGTTAAGTTAACACAATGGGTTTTGAATGGCTTCTGGTGTTGGTAAATATCGTGATTTTTCAATTACAGTGTGATTCGCTATTGGGGTTTTTATAACAGTGATCTTAAACTGTGATGTGATCACTTTTTTTCAATTGCAAATGTTCCCGTTTTCTTGTTCTTCTTATATCCGAAAAAGTAGCGGTGAAAACGCACATAATGCACGAGGTCGCTTGCATCGTATACCGAGCGGCATGGCCTAGAGGTTTAGACCATCGCTTGGTATTCGGAAGGACGTTGGTTCGATTCCGGGTCCTTCTGCCTTAGTCCAAGTTTTTCTATGGTTTCCTTAGATCACTTAGGCAAATGCTGGGGCTGTAATATTCCACAGATAATCTTTCATTCTCTTATGTCTTCATTTCGTCCGCCTCAATTTTCTCATCCGAACCACCACCCACCCATTCCCACGATTCCTGAAAGGAGGCTGAAGAGGGCCTTCCGCCCTACCTTCCGACGTAATCTGGAGGGACTGCCCACCCACCAGCATTACTGGCTGATGGGAATGAAGCACCCGAAAGTTTTTTTTTGCGTCGTATGTAAATTCTAATGGTGTTAAACGAAACTCGACTTAATGGTAGACCATAAGTAGAACTGATTTAATTATAGACGCTTGTAAAGTGGAAGCTCATGTGCGTATCACACGAAAAATTAAATTGTGATCACGCCACAGTTTTATGGGAGCATCAGTAGCAGTACCCTGTTATTTTTTAATATCAGTTAATAAATCACAGTTCATCAAATATCTCCCAACACTAATGGCTTCGCCACAGGTGAAAGGGCCTCCAAAACGTCAGTCATCCTAAAGGAAACCCGTACAGCTGTTAGAGAATGGACTTTTATGTGGTGCCAAATGTACTCTTGCCGACGATGAAGAT